GTTTGAGGGGCTTATCCTTTCAGATCTGAGCACATTATGAGTTTCTCAAGCTTAAAGGTGAAAGATTTATAGTGTTATTGGTCTCATGCATGCTTTAAGTCATATATTAAGTCCTTTTTAGCTTTAAGAGCTTCATTAAGCCATGCATGCACGTAAAGTTAGCAACTTTACATGATAAAACTTCTCAATGAACTCAGATCTAGATTTTGGAGTGTTGTCTTAATGAGTTAAGAGCTGAAAATGAAGATTGGTTGTATGTGAGTAGTTTAGCGGGGCAACAGCCAGTGATTCTTTCTGTGAGATTCGGCAGTGTGAGGTGAGTTTCCTCACCATTTTTAATGGGTCTAAGGCACCAATGCCGACCCATGATCTTTTATGTTAGAATACTCGTTGTTTTTCTGACACTAGTATATGTATGTGCTTGTATGCTTACTGGGCGGGACCCAATGGTTATTCTGTATGCTATTACATGTTATGTTTATATGAATTGTATGTGGGCGGGGCCCGTTATGTGAGTTAGGGCGGGGCCATTTATACTCATTGGACGGGGCCCGTTATGCGAGATAGGGCGAGGCTCGTTATACTCAGTAGACGGGGCCCGTTATGCGAGTTACGGCGAGACCCGTTATACTCATTTGGGTGGGGCCCGTTATGTGTTATATATATATATATATATATATATATATATATATATATATATATATATATGGTATGTGGTATCTTGGGGAACTCACTAAGCTTTGTGCTTATGGTTTTTAGTTTATGATTCAGGTACTTCAGTTTTCAAATGAGAGAGCTCCGGATGATTGCAGAGCACCAAACTACGTGTTTTCGCATTTTATGATTTACTCTGATATTTATGATGTATCGATACATTTGATAACCTTGGTTTTATGACTATAATATGGTTTGATGTTTTATTAATCTAAAAATGAAAAAAAAATTATGGTCTTATTTGTAGGATGTTACACCTTCGTGTGTTGTTGGGGGCAGTAGCCCGTTGCTAGATGCCAATTACTGTCTATATCAATCCATAATGAATCTTGCACAAGTGGGAGATTGTTGGATCTATATGATCAAGAATCATTATTGAATGGTATTGATAATAACATATAATCCTATAGGGTCACACCTTAATTAAGTTGATATATATATTAAATATTTATTATTATTATGATTATCAATAAATAAAACAACTCTTGTATTTAATTAAGGAAAAATATATTTTTTATAAAAATAATATGTCAAACTGTCATAATTAGTCATTATATCGTATGATATGATATAACTAGTCATGTACAAGTTTTTAGTCACATTGGATACCATTTAACTTATACATACTTGCTAGTTATTTAATATGGAAAGTCAACACTTTTTTCCCTCTCTTTTTGGTCCTTAAAACCGTAGACACGAGGAGGCATGGGAGGTTGCTTGACAACCTCCCTCTTCCACACATCTTGCTAGTAAGTAACCATTATCTTGCTTTTAATGAAGGTATGAGTTCAAGATCATGCTTGTAAGTATATAAGGATGTGTTAGGCTTTGATTATTGAACTGCTTTTTCCTTAGAAAATAAGCCAAAAATGAGAGCACATTCTACTATCCCACTCATGCCCTTTTGAAGCTAGTAGCAATCATTTGGTGTCCATATGCGTTTCTACTTTAGTTCTTATTTTAGCTAAGCACTTAAAGGGTTAAGAAATCACTAATACAAGAAGGGAACTAGCATTCCTTGTGCCTTACTCTTGGTGGTAGATTACTTATAGAGAAGTTCAAACTCATTGTTCTTGCCATCTACATCAACACCCCAGTTCTAAGTGGATTCAAAGGCTCCAAAGGTTGTCACTCTAAAACACCCTATGGTTGTTTTAATATTATTGTAACCTATAAAATTCGATCCTTGATGGTTTTGCTTTAAAATGATCTAAACTAAACTAGTTATTTTACTAATGTTGTCATTGCCGTTTTTAAGAAAAACTTTCTATTTTATGTATCAAAACTCGTCAAGGGTTTGTATGTATCTCACCTATTTATATGATGTTGTATATTTTGCATTATTTATTCAATAATGTGAAGAGAAACGATTTCTCAAACTTACTTTCAGCCCCTTGACATATGTCATTTGTCATATTCAATGTCAAAATCATATCATATACATCAAGATTATTAAGATCGGGATCACACCTAAGATCGTTTTATTTTTTGCAAGATCATGATCGCAAGATCGAATCGGGATCACAAGATCCTACCAAAATTAACAAATCTCCAAATTTGTTTTCACAAGGTCCTGTTTATGTAGTATCGATGTTGACTAAGACATCAATAATATAATCACCTTTAATATCTTAAGCATGAAGCACAATTCTTTTTGTTGCAAAACACAAAAATTAGGAAGAAAACATCATAAACTAAAAAAGAAACACAATCATTATGACCATATACCATTAAAGCCATACGACCACAAGGAACTGTCTAGATTGTCACAATACTCTGTGTAATTCGAGATGAACAAATGAATTGTTGGCTCTAGGAGACATCATGTGGTATGTGATCCTCGATTTATAGTTGAATGAAGGATATTTTGAGGCTTGAATATATAAAAAGACTAAAAAGGTGGGATTAGATCGAGTTAAGATTTTACGATCCTAGTCCGGATTCTAAGATCCCAACATAGATCCTACTCCAGATAGATCCTAGTGTGACCGAGATCGTTTTTCGCTCATGAGATCTTAAAATCGTAAGATATTATGGTCAAGATCGGGATCTTAATAACAATGATATACATATACAAAAAATAGCTTTGTTTGAAGGGCCCCCATTTTGGCCATGGTTTCTCCCCTCATATGTTGTCTAATAAAAACGAAGTTGTCGCCCATTTCTCATGATGTGCAATTGAAACACACTGGCCTCCCCCACTTCATGCTTCGTTCGTGTCGTCGTCGATAAGAAGATTCTCTTCGTCATGCTTCTCTCATGTCATCATAATATGCTTGGTCGCCTCATGCTTCACTCTTGTTCCTTGATTCAGTAAGGGACACTTGGAGCTTTCATTGAAGGCGGAAGGGACACATCGATGTGCAACTTCGTCACCATCGACGAGTAACTCTACCATCTCATGCTGCTGCCATCCGCCATCACCCGCCTGACTGATTTCCACCTAGAAGCATGTTGAGTAACACCCTTTCCGCCATCTTTGCTTCTCTATAACGGTCGAGTTTTGTTTGCAACCTATTCTCATGACCTCCTGCTTACATCATTTCTTCTTCCAATCCTTTACCACTACCTGTTTCTTTATTTACTTGAACCACACCTTTTAAGTTTCCTTTTAAGTTTCACTTTAATCTAGATTCTAAGGTTTTATAAACTAACACCACCTCCCTGGTTTGTTTTTCTATTATAACTATCTTCCTAATTTATTTTAATTAGGTTTTCATAATTTTTATTGCTATCTTTTTTTAATAAAGTAATTGGACTTTGTCATAGGAATAACATTTGTTTAAATCTTTATTTTGAGACATATGGCATAGGTTGATTCTATTTTACATGCCACCTAATTTGTTATTGAGTATAACTTAAAATATCATTCAGTAAAGGTGTAAATTCTAATTACATAAGGCTGCAAAGAGTGGCAGCGGCAGGGGCTCGGCATTTACTGATTTACCTTGGTAAACATTGACCCGTAGGCTCGGCATGTCGAGTTCGACGAGCTAACTCGGTAAGTGCTCGTAAAGGTGAGAGGTAAATGTTTTAATTTGCATTTTTACCACTTTTAAAAACATGAGCCCACTTTTAAAAAACCTAAACATTTTTTTTTCTTTTTAAAGTTTAAACCACTTTTCAGCCAATATAAATACCAACGGATATATTCATTTTCACCACTTTCATAGCTTCAATATTCATCTTTCTTAAGCCTTTAACACTAATTTTAACTCTATGAAAATATTTTCCGCAAATGCTCAATTCGGTTATGCAGTTGTTCTTTGGAGCATGATGGAAGACGTAAATTTGGCCCGTACATGGGTTGATGTATCAGACGACCCAAAGTAGGCATACACGAAATTGCACCTTTTGGAACATAATCAACCAACGATTCCTCAACAAAATGAATCGACGTCGCTAACGAAGCCTAGAGAAAATCTACACCAAATGTAAGAACACAAACAATATGGCAGTACAGTTTGTCGATGTGTTAAATAAAGTAAGACATGATTTGGCAAATTGTGAAAATGATGGAATAATGTTAAACATTGCTCTTGAAATTTTCCGCCAAAAAGAAAATAAACAAACCTTTCCGGTAGGTTGAGTTTTAGCAAGTTGTTAAGGGGTCCCCAAAATGATGTCAATATTTATTTTGAAGTGATGTTATTTTTAAGTTTCATGGTTTTTATGAGTTGGAACATCCAGAATGCATTAAACTTCATAGAGTTTAATGGGTTGTCACATCATATTTTTACATTTCATATAGCTCTATCAATTATTTCCTATAATACATTGAACTCTATAAAGTTCAATACAATAAAACATTATACAAACTAATTTATAGTATATATGTAACATTTAAAAAAAAAATTCTTTTTCATTGAAGAGTTCAATGACCATTGAACTCAGAATTCATTGAATACTAATATCACATATCACATTCATAAAGTTTCATTCATTAGGCTAAGAGGTGTGGTGCCTTTTTCACCAATGGTAAAAAGGTGTCACGTAGGCGTCACATCAACTTTTAAAGTTTTTATAAATTTCACTTGTAAACTAGGTTGTGGTAAATGATTTACCTATGAGTTTTATTTATTTATTTATTTATTTTTATTTTTATAAAAAAATAAAAGCTTTTCTAAAAATCATACTAACATTAAAAATAACAGAAAATTAAATATCGCATTTTAGAAATCCTAAAAATAAAAAATAATATGAAATTAAAAATTACATTAAAAACCTATAAAAAAATGAAGTCAAAAATAAATAAAAAAACTAGAAAAAAACATAACATCGAAATTTCATTTGATGTTTAGCTTATGTTTTTTGCGAATCGACACCTTCACCGTTTTAGCCGCCTCTTGATCTTCAGGGTCGATGTGTCGCTCATCTTGCATTAACAACGAACATTCTGTGAGTCGGATGGTTTCAGCCATATGCCTCTCAAAAGTTGAATTCAATTGTGCCATTTGTGCCATCATTTCCTCCGATCTTGTTGACCGTTTGGTTCTGATCGAAGAATTTGAAGATGTCGTTGTCCCTTTCCCTTTTCCTCTTGCTCGAGCTTTTGTTGTGCCATCATTAAGATTAACGCCTACGTGACCATCCGTTGACACTTGTTGTGAGCTCCAATATGAAGATGTTCGGCTTCTTTTTGACGGATTAGTAATTTCTTCATGTGTTGCAAGTTCCCTCCATCTAATGTTTATTTTGACAACTTGCCACACATAAATAAACTTCAAAGGCTTTAGCATATCATCTTGGAATGTAGCGTACGTTTTTACAACAAACTCGTTTTCACTTTCTCCGCTAACCCATTGTTTTTCAAAGTTTGTGTAAATTCCATTCCAATGTTTCAATAGTTTTTTCATAACATTCCATTTCGAGTTACATTGGTCGGAGGTCCAATAATCTGGATCTCGACCCATTCCCTTACAAAACTGCTTCGTGATACGTAACCAAAATTGATCACGATTTTGACCCGTTCCCATGCCACCATCTTCAGATATGTCGACCCATGCATTTTCTAAGTTAACTTTTTCTTTTTGTGTCCATCTTCCCAGATCGACCTTCCCTTTTTCTTTTGTTGTTGAAGTTGTTGTTGTTGTTGTTCGTGTTCGGAATCGAAAAGAATTTTGGTTGAAGGTGTGAAAGGCGGTTGGGATGGAAATTGGGGTTGCGATGGTTGGGTTTGGGGTTGAGATTGGAAATGGAATTGTTGTGGCATTTGGAATTGTGAGTAATAGCTAGAAACACCATCCATTTTTGGCCGATAAAGTGGTGGTGATAATGGATCGTAGCCGAAAAGTGCGAAATGGTTGTTAACATTTTCGCTTGGAGCATTTTATTTGGAAGAGTTTGGATTGTTGGAAGACATTTTGAATGAAAAATATTTGTAAAAACTGTATAGTGTAGTTATATTTTACCACTTTATGTTTTTTTTTTTACCATTTACTAATTTTTCGTTTATCATTTTGTGTTATGACTTATGACTAATATTTTAAGGTTTTTATAACTTTTGAACGAAAAATTGAATGTTTGAAATATTTTTCATGATTAAAAATTATAAATTAAAATTATATTTTAATTTGTGGGATCTTAGGAACCCGATCCCGATCTTACGATCTCGATCTTGCAAATCCAAAAACAATCCAACATAGGATCGATCCTGATCTTGACAACCTTGGTATTTCTTTTATTTTTACATTGACTTTTTCAATTTAATAAAATTTTAGGTTTAGTCTAAAATAAAATATCATCAAAAGAAAATATAACCGCACAAAACTTGGTCAAAGTCAATACAAAAACTCTCCATCCATTTTGATGACATCACTCTCGTCTAAAAACCTCAGTTAGACTACATGCTTTTATATATACACCTCTATTACTCTATTAACCTGTCTACTCTAATTACCAATAATGTCAATACTACGGTCGTAAATATAATTGAAATAATAAAACCTTTATTCTGAAAAAGCCTGTCTCCACGCATATACATATATAAAGACTGAAGGTGAAAACAAAATATAAGCTCAGTCTTCTTCTTCTTACTCCTCTTCTTTAAGCCATCATGGCAACCATAACCAGAGATGAATCCGATTACGACAGCAGCTGTTCATCGATTACCGTCCCAGATTCTAGCCGGAGCTGGATGAGCAACGTCAGTTTTGGCAGCCGCCGTAGCTCAATCTCCGGCGACCCTTCACACAAACCACACAAAGCAAACCAAGCAGCATGGGAGGCCATGAAGATGCTGCGGGCGGAGAAGGGTGGTCGGGTGAGTTTGGACCACTTTAAGATCTTGAAACGAGTTGGCTCCGGTGACATAGGGAACGTGTACCTGTGTCAGATCCGCAACCCGGTGGTGGGTTTACCGAGCAGTTTTTATGCGATGAAGGTGGTGGATAGGGAGGCGTTGGCGATAAGGAAGAAGTTGCAGAGGGCGGAGATGGAGAAGGAGATTCTTGCTGGTTTGGATCACCCGTTTCTGCCGACGTTGTATGCAGAGTTTGATGCTTCGCATTACTCGTGTTTGGTGATGGAGTTTTGTCCCGGCGGCGACTTGCATGCCGCCCGTCAACGACAACCGGCTAAGTGTTTCAGCATTTCGTCAGCTAAGTAAGTAAACTGTCGCATTTTTTATTTTTGTTATATGATTATTAATTTGAAAACACTTTAAATCCGTAGGTTAAGGTTGTAAAGTTTCAATCGATATTAGTGATGAACCATGAACCACTCAAAAAGTAAATTGATAAGCTTTTATTTCAGAAGAAAATGATGTCTTTATTTTGAAATACAATAAAAACAAATTATTCAATTTACTTCATTTTCGAGGAAGAAGTTAATATGCTTTTATATTTTTATGACTTTATAACTTTATACACCTTATTTCAGAATTTAAATTTTTGATATTTAATAAGATAAATAACCATTAAATTACATTTTTAAATTAAGGAGAAGATATTTTGAAAAGGGTACATTTATCATCATATTCCTTTTAATTTGTTTAAGTGTACTTTTTTTAGGAAGAAATATATAGTTGATTATTAGAAAAAAATAAGTAGCTTGTATTTATGTCAATATCAAAAAATAATATTTTATTTTAGTTTATATAATGTCAAACGACCATCTTTGATTTTGCTTTTCTAATTAATTTGCAAAAAATGTAGCTTGCAATTATTTGATTATTGAAGTAATTAATGTTTGTTTATTAAATAATTGTAGGTTTTATGTTGCCGAAACACTATTAGCTTTAGAATATCTTCACATGATGGGCATAGTTTATCGAGATCTGAAGCCCGAAAATGTTCTTGTAAGAGAGGATGGTCACATAATGCTTTCCGATTTTGATCTCTCACTCAAATGTGATGTTGTCCCTAGACTTATTCGATCCAAACCTGACACATCCAAACAAACTGACCATGAAGACGATGATCATGACCCAAAATGCTCAACACCCTCTTGTGTCATCCAAATCCAACCTGTCCTCTCTTCATGTTTCTCATTACGCCGGAAAACCAAAAACACTCCCTCCACTACCACAATCACCGAAAAAGCCGAGTCTCAAGAGTACAATACTGAGTTAGTTGCAGAACCCCTAAATGCAAGATCCAAGTCATTCGTCGGGACCCACGAGTACCTGGCCCCAGAAGTGATATCGGGCCAGGGCCACGGTGGTGCCGTCGACTGGTGGACCTTAGGGGTTTTCTTGTACGAGTTATTATATGGGATCACACCCTTTAAGGGTGAGAACAACGAGAAGACACTAATCAACATATTGAAGCAACCCTTAAGTTTTCCAAGAATTGGTGTGAGTACAAGTAAAGAATATGAAGAAATGGTTAAGGTGCAAGACCTTATTGCAAGGTTGCTTGTGAAAAACCCTAAAAAGAGAATCGGAAGCTTGAAGGGTTCAAATGAAATTAAAAGGCATGAATTCTTTAAGGGTGTTAATTGGGCCTTGATAAGGTCAGTTAGGCCCCCAGAGGTCCCAAGTGAGATGATGAAGGTAAGGAATAGGGTAGTGGTGCCCAAGCTAATGAGCAAGAAAGAAAGAGATGCACCATTTCAAATCCGTAATCATCATTTTGACTACTTTTAGAAAGATATATGTATATAAAGAACAACTAATTCTAGGGTAGTCCTACTTTTCGATGTCCACATTTGAATTCAGAATGATGTATAATTTCTAATACATGAAAGTACAAATTATTATATACCATTGTTCTTTCGATTCAGAAAGTTGTATATCATTGGAAAAGATGGTTTATTTTGATTTTAGGTTAGTCGGACGATGATACGTTGATTATAATATTGAATTAACGGTTTCATTTGCTGTTTTCTTATGAGTTCCCCCACAATCGGTTGAACTGATTCACACTTATGTACGTGCATTATTTACATTCTGTAACGATACATGTCATACATAAAATGTTGATCATACATATACATGCCTAAATGAACTAGTTATAGTTAATACAATGTTAAACCTTCAGGGTTAAACCTAATATATAAGCCATTAACAATTACTAATTAACAACCCGGGAATTTGCAATTGTTAACCATTAAGTACATGTGGACTTTTCTAGTGTCAGAGTACCATTATTTTCTAGAATAACAGCATTTATCTAGTTTAATTAATAAGATAATAGACTCAAATCTCAACATTTTATCATAAAACATATACTTAAATAACTCATGAGACAAAATGTAGTGCTCCTAGAAGATGATATTTGAATAATACACACCAAAACTATTTGTAGTTACTATATTAGATTTAAATTTTGAAATAATTAACCGTTTGTATTTTTTTTTTTTAACTTTTAATGTATTGGGTATGTAAGATTATAATATTGAAACTGTAATGTATTTGTCAAATGTTTTATGGCAAAAGCATAGTAGTACTTCGATATCAACTACATTAAGAAGTATAAATAAATATAAAATAATTATGCATAAATAAGTAGAGAAAAAGTAAGATGATTAACATGTTATTTATAAATCAAAGAGCGGTGTCTCGAATATTTACTATTAGACTATTAGTCTAGTAGACTATTAGTCATGGATTTCTTGTACATAATTCTTTATTTCATATATATGGTCTGTTTTTCTATGAACAGTGTGTAGGTGTAAAGTATGGGGGCAAGTCATTATAGTCCCCATGTTTTTTCTCTCATGAATTCATGTGATCACCATTATTACTTACCTCCTAATTCAAGTAAAATATTATTATTTTTACAAAATCATGAAAAATATTAATAAACAACCACCTTCGCATTAATATATATATATATATATATATATATATTAGGGGTGTGCACAAAACCGCATAAACCGCCCGCACCGCACCAACCCACACCGCATAATGCGGTTTAGACATGTCACGGTGCGGTTCGCGGTTCGTGTTTATTCTAAACTGCATTATGCGGTACGGTTTGCGGTTTTTAGTTACATGGTCGCGGTTTAAAACGCACCGCACCATATATATATATATATATATATATATATATATATATATATATATATATATAACAAAACAAAATCTACCATTA